CGAACTGATCCCATTCCCTCCTGTCTCTGGAGCCTTTCAGACTATTCTTCCCTATATGTCCTACCGCCTGCCCAGTTCCACCCCTTCTCCCTACAAAATCATCTTCAGTTCCTTCCTCTTCAAGCCATAGAGTCTGTCTTTGCAATTCCTTTATGTCTATTCCATTCTTTATATCCTTATTATTGAAGATTGAAGATGGGCAAATGAATCTCTCCTTAAACTTGTGATGAATTTTGAAGGAAGTTACATAAAAAGATGTACGTAAAATTAGGAAGTTTCAAACACCACATGTGTATTGGGGAAGGAAGGTGAGACAAGGGTAGCAGTTTGGGGAAAACCTAAGAGTGAGAAGTTATTAGAGAGAGAACATACTACCGAAGCAGTGGAGCACAGAGGACTGAGGTAAAAAAAAAAGAGTTCAGACCTAATAAGAAAGGGTTATAGAAAATGTTGGAAGAATTTGGAGAATTATTAGGTAAATTGATGGTTTTTTTAAAAAATTTATTATTTTTGGCTGCATTGGGTCTTCTTTGCTGCGCGGGGGCTTTCTCTAGTGTGGCGAGCGGGGGCTACTCTTTGTTGCGATGCGTGGGCTTCTCATGGCGGTGGCTTCTCTTGTTGCGGAGCACGGGCTCTTGGCGTGCGGGCTTCAGTGGTTGTGGCACATGGGCTCAGTAGTTGTGGCTCACGGGCTCTAGAGCACAGCTCAGTAGTTGTGGCACATGGGCGCAGTTGCTCCGTGGCATGTGGGATCTTCCCGGACCAGGGCTCAAACCTGTGTCCCCTGCATTGACAGGCAGACTCCCAACCACTGCGCCACCAGGGAAGCCCTGATGTTTTTTTTAATAGTGCCATTTGGAGATGATGAGAGGGAAGAGGGGCATTGAGCTAGAAGTTTGAGAAAATTGCAGCAGTAACATCCAGTAGGTATACGTCAGGCTCAGATGTGTGAGTAGTAGAAAGAATTAATTTGAGAAATGCATAAGAAGAAGATTTTGTTACAGCTTGATGTAAGGAGAGAAGAGTGAGTGGGTTCCAGATGACTCTTAGATTTCGTACCTGGAAGGAAGGTAAGATGGTGGCACTTTTCATGGTGATTTAGAAACTGAATGGGTCAAAGGCTTGGTATAAAGCAATTCATTCTTTATTTGTATGAAATGCTATGGTACACCCACTGAAACAAATCCTGTATTTAGTTCTGTGGTCAGTAAGAGGTGCTTTCTTTTAAGAGATAGAATTGGATGCCTAATAAAAACTTGGGTGAATATATGTTGTGTGATAATAAAGAGAAGGACAAACTGACATTTTATCAGGGAGCCTTGGAAAAACATGAGAGAGAGAGAGCAACATTTTTTTTTTTTAAATCAGCACCTTCATAGGGTAGAACTTAATGAGATGGGTAAAAATTGATTCTGAGATTAATAAACTTATTATTTCACTAAAAAAAATCCAACATCAATGGTAGAAATGCTGTTTTCAATATATTAAAGAAGGTGCACATTACTTCATTAATCTCTACTTTTTGTAGTTAATTTTGTAGTTGCTGCTAACATGGGATAATCTGGGAATTGTGTGTTATAGACTATTTTAAATGTAAGTGGTATGCTTTCGTATTCTCTTCCTCAAAATTGAATCATTAGGGGGTTTTTTTTAGATATGCATGGGAGAAATCACTTCTTTCTCACACTGTCATTAGGAAGTTCTTTGTGTGCTACTTGAATATTAACTGTTTTAGTGCTACCCCGATTATCAATTAAGTGATAATTGATAGAATCTCTGTTCTTAAGTTTACAAGAACAGAGATAAAATCATATATAAATGTCCTTTTTGATTCTCTAAAAATGTAGATGTTTGAAATTATAAAATTATTATTATTATTATTTTTTGAAATTATAAAATTATTTGAACTTTATTTTAACTAACGTTTTTGGTTGATAGAGTTGAGAAATATTAGTAAAGGATCATTCTTATTGAACGATAGTCATTCATCTGTTCAGCAATATTTACGTAACCAGTTTATGTCAGGCACAGTTCTAGGCCCTGGGAATACGAGGTTAAATAAATGTTCATGGAGCTTATATTTTGTGGAGAAGACAGGAGATGAAATCTTTAATGTGAAGAAGTGATATGTGCTTTTAAAAATATAACAGAGTAAGGGGAGAGAATGTGATTGGGTGGGGGCTGTTTAGATAGATTAGTCAGGGAAGGCTGTTCTGAGGGAAGCAGAAACCTGGGTGAAGAAGATCTTGTAAAAACTTATTCCAGGCAGAGAGAATGGTAAATGTGAAGATCATGAGACAGGATCTAGCTCATTGAGAACCAGTTTGGTATGTTGGAGGAAAAACAAGAAAGCTGGTCTGACAAGTGCAAGATAAGGAAGTGGAGAATAATAGGAGTTGAGGGTAAAGGGGTAGACAGGGGCCAGAGCATATTGGGCCTTATTGCCCATGAATTTTATTTTGAGTGTAATTGGACACCATAGGAGAGTTTTGGGACAGGGTTGTGACACGATCTGATTTACATTTTACAAAATTCATTCCAGCTACTGAGTGGAAAACTGACCATAGGAAAGGTGAGGTCTAAAGCATTGGACCATTTAGGAAGCTTTTGCAATGATCTAGGTCTATGGTTTCCAGTATGCTCATGATCATTGTGGTGCAAGAAGAAACTGTTAGAGCTATATTTAATTCTATTTTTAAAAATTAAGCTCTACTAATTCAGTATACATATTGGTCCTGGCACCCACATTCCATCTGTATGTTAGCTACATGTCACTTACCAGTTTTGGCCTGAGCAACTGAGTGAATGTTGAAGTCATTTACTGAGATGAGATACATGGTGGAGCAGGGTTTGTTTGAGGGTAAGGGTGGGGAAGCAGTAACTTAGTTTGGGCATTTTAAGTTTGAGTTGTCTACTAGAAATATAAGATTTATCAGGTAAGTAATTTAGATATATGCGTCTGGAGCCAAGGTTAGAAGCCAGGGTATAGATTAGAGATGTAAATTTGGGAATCATTAGCACAGAGGCAGTGTACAAGAGCTTTGGAGCCAACCTGTGTGAATTCAAATTTCAGCTTTGCCACTTACTGACTATGTAGTGGTGGACAAATGAATTTGTCATCTGTCTATAAAATGGGGATAGTAATAATATCTACCTCACTGGGTTATTGTGAGGATTAAATGAGTTAACACAAGTAAAGTGTTTAGAATAGTGTCTGGCATGTAGTACTCACTAGCTGTTAACTCTTATCAGTTTATGAGTGGTGTTTAAAACCATGAGGTTAGATGAGATGACCTAGAGAATGAATTTAGATAGAGAAAAGGTCCAATGAGGGAGCTCTGAAGCAATACAACCTTTAGAATTCAGAGACAGGAGGGAGGGCACTGAGGAGTGGGGTAGGAGTCAAACCAGTAGGATGTTGGATCTAGAAGCTTGCCTAATGAAGAAAATATTTCAAGAGAAGTCACCAACTTGGACCAGTTCTGCTTGACAGTTTGAGTAAGATGAGGACTGAGAATTGACCATTGGATTTGTTAAGATGGAAGTTGTTGGAGACTTTGAGAAATGGGTAGAGTAGTGCGTATGAACACCTGATTGGAGTGGGTTAAGGAGAGAATTGGGGGAAAGAATTGAAGAACATGTATATAGACAACTCATAGGGGTTTTGCTATGAAGAGGAAGAGAGAAAATGGAGTGGTAGCTAGAGGAAGATTTGTGGAGTCAAGGAAAGGTAGGAAATGGGGTGTGTTTGTGTTGATTTTAAGATGGATAGTATAGCAAGTTTGTATAACGAAGAGAGTGACCCAGTGGGTAGAGAAAACTTGATGATATTTGAGTGACATGAGACAATTGTAGCAGCCAAGACCTTGAATAGGTAAAATGAGGTGGGTGAGTGCACAGCCTCCAATTGTGAACTCTCTCCAGCGTTAGTCTTAGACACTGGCAGAGATAGTTCATCCACTGATAAAGGTAGAGATTAATGGAGGTGCAGATAGATTGGTGGGTTTGGTTATGGGAAAATGAGATAATTTTTTCAGAGTGCTTTACTTTTTCCAGGAAGAGGGTGGCAGGATCATTAGCTGAGAGTCAGAGTGGGTAGGGGTTTGTAAGGTTTGAGAGAGAGGAGGTGGTGTCAGATAGGCATCTTGGAAGGTGGGAGAATGAGTTGACTAAGGAAGTGCAGGTGGAATGTCAAGGAGTTCAGGGGGCCCATCTGACATTTGTGGTTGTTAAAGTGATTCCAGCTGGCTGAGGATGGAAATGTGGTCTTGAGTGTGTATACAGTGGAAAAGTGATAGGGACATTGCCTCCTCTGTTGTGAACTCTTTAGTCTCATGGCTGAGAGGATTGCTGCTTCTTAGGTCCATGGATGTCGACAGAGGAATTAATAAAAGTGAATAAGCCAAAAAAAATCATTTCATTTTTGCCTGTGTTCAGTGTCTATGTCATTCATGATGTTTCATGTAGAGCAGTGGTCCCCAACCTTTTTGGCACCAGAGGCCCGTTTCATGGAAGACAGTTTTTCCACGGGAGGCAGAGGGGAGGCAGGGGGATGGTTCAGGTGGTAATGCGAGCAAGGGGGAGGGGCAGATGAAGCTTCACTTGCTCGCCACTCACCTCCTGCTGTGCGGCCTGGTTTCTAACAGGCTGAGGACTGCTGTCAGTCCACCGCCCAGGGCTTGGGGACCCTGGATGTAGAGGATGAGTTCCTAGAGGTGTTTATGTTGCCGTATCTCCTTTAGAGTGCCTACGTTACACAGGTGATAATCAAGATGGCCCTGGAACACTTTCAGTGAATTATATTTGGTTGCTGTGTTATATAAAGAAAGTAAAATCTCTACTGGAGAAGCTTTGTAGTTTTTCCTGATAGATAGAAAACCTCACCAAAGTTTTCCCTAGGACCTGTGGTTTCTGTTAATCTAGAATTATCACTTATGTTGATTTCATACTTTTGAGCTGGATTACAGATGAATTCAAAGTCTGGTTTTCTTCTGTTTCAGGTGCTGGAGAATCTGGTAAAAGCACCATTGTGAAACAGATGAAGTAAGTTGGAACGTGGTCTTTTGTAAAACATTTACTCATAATGCATAAAAGTCCATAGTGTCTTTTCATTTTAGGTCCATGGTAATGATTTGTGGTTTTCTTCTTTTTAAAGAATCATTCATGAGGATGGCTATTCAGAGGAAGAATGTAAGCAATATAAAGTAGTTGTCTACAGCAATACTATACAGTCCATCATTGCAATCATAAGAGCCATGGGACGGCTAAAGATTGACTTTGGGGAAGCTGCCAGAGCAGTAAGTGTATCTCATTTCCTCTTTACTTGCTCTTTTTCAGTAGATGCAGTTAAGCCCAATTTGCTTCATGTGTTAGGGAAATAAATTTAGGCAACAAGCTAAGTTGTAGTAAAGTACTGTCTGCTCATTTGAGACATGTTAGCAATCTACTTTAAGAGATATTAGATTACTACCACAAAGGTAAGTCTAGGAAATGGGATTCTGTGGATATACTATAGGTTTTTGTGGTAACTGTTTTATTCACTTGCTTCTTTTACAGCACTGTTGACTTTTATAGTAGTAAATTGAAATAATCTAAGAGAGGTTGTCATGATATGGAGCTCTGCTTTCTGAGGTGTAGAGATTAAAGGCAAATATCAGTGTCGCAGAATAAACTTGGTAAGGACATGAACACTAAGTCTCAATTTTAGAGGCAAATTTCCAGTATTCAAGAATAACTATATCCCTATACTATGTTGTACTGTAGGCTATAGAATTGGATTATACCATGTCCTAGTATAATTTTTGCACCTGTCAGATATTCAAAAGTTGTATTGATTGATTATAATACTTAGTGGGCCCTGAAGGTCTAGTTTATAAATTAGGATGTTTGATGCAGTGGGGAGAGAGCCAAAATGAAAGTGGGTGATTTTTTTTTTTTTTTTTGCGGTACGCGGGCCCCTCACTGTTGTGGCCTCTCCCGTTGCGGAGCACAGGCTCCGGACGCGCAGGCTCAGCGGCCATGGCTCACGGGCCCAGCTGCTCCGCGGCACGTGGGATCTTCCCGGACCGGGGCACGAACCCGTGTCCCCTGCATCGGCAGGCGGACTCTCAACCACTGCGCCACCAGGGAAGCCCAGTGGGTGATTTTTTATATCATCATCAGCTAAACTCCAGGAGAAGGCTGGGAATGTATAGAACGCTTTCCTAGAACTAAGAGAGTCATCAGCTGTGTTCAGTGTCATACTTAGGTGCTATGGGCAATAAAAGGAAGTGACTTGGAGAGACTGCCTGGAAAAGCAAAGCCTATATGTCTGTGAAGTAGCTTAGGAACTCTTCTAAGCAACTCTCAATTTCTCAGATGTAAATTAACATTCAGTAAATAAGTGAGGAAATTCTTGGAGGGAAAAATAATAGAAGGATGGTTCTAATTGGATAGTATTAGATTAGGAAGACTAGAGGTGCCATAAAGGAAGGGCAGCTAGAGTAAGGGTTCTAAAATGATTGGCGAGAAGAGGAGCAAAAGAAGAAATGAAGAGGAATGTGTGGGGCATGACTTCTATGTTTTTGTAAAAGGGTTCCATATCACAAAAAATCAGAGACTATTTTTCTAAGCCTCTGAGCAGGAAAAATGTGATAGCTAAGGCAAGAATAAACAAACTCTTGTTTTTGTCTTATTCCTTCTATCCCCTCTCGCAGCTGCCTTTCTTCTTGCTTTTGCCTCCCTCTTTCTACCAGCTCTTTCTTGTGTTCTTACTTTTTTCCTCCCTTTTCTCATTCCTTCCTATCACCCAACTCTTTCTCTGTTGTATTTGCTGTATCCAATAATTGGTTAGTAATACTGTATTTATTCTCTTCCTTCTCTTTGTTGGCTTTTTCTCCATCTCAGTTATTTACTTATTTTCTTAGTTTCTTCCTTTTTGACTTCTCACCCTCTGTCTGACTGCCTTTCTGCCTTTTGGCCATCCCTCCTCCTTTCCTTTCTTTCCACTATCAAATTAGTTGTTATTAATCGTTGGGTCCTATCATTCCTTTGTCACCAGATGTAGTTGTCATATTCTGCCTTAGTCTGTTCAGGCTGCTGTAATAAAGTACCGCAGATTTGGTAGCTTATAAACAACAGAAATTTATTCCTCACACTTTTGAAGGTTGGAAGCTGAGGTCTGGGTGCCAGCATGGTTTGGTTAGGGCCCTCTTCCAGGTTGCAGACTTCTCGCTGTGTCCTCACTTGGCAGGAGGGGAAGGGATCTCTCTGGGGTCTCTTTTATAAGGGCACTAATCCCACTCATGAGAGCACCACCCTAATGACCTAATTATCTCCCAGAGGCCCTATTTCCTAAAACCATCACTTGGACATTAGGATTTCAACATAAGAATTTGGGGAGGACACAAACATTCACACCATAGTATCCTTCCTCCTTTCATTTCTCTTTTATCAAATCAGTATCATTAATCTCTGGGTCCTAACACTCCCATGTCACCAGATGCAGTTGACATTATTAATTCCTCTCAGGCCTCCTGAATCACCTAGCCTAGCCCTCCAGCATTCACTCATCCTAATCTACAACCCTGTTTTTGAAGTTTCTCTTTTCCTTTTTCATATGTAAGGATTTATATTTATAGCTCCTCTTTTATCCTCCTCTAGTTTTTTACAGTTGTCTGGAGAGTGAATAGAAAAGCATAAAGCTGGGTGTGGGATAGGTTGCTTTTTCATATCTGCTTAAGGTGGAGGTATGAAGTTCACTGTAAAGAGGGGCCTCTTTATCGACCTATAAAAGAGGGTTTATTATGGGCAAGCAGGAGTAGGTCTGTAGAAGGGGTTAAGTGGTAAGGGAAAAATGTTTTGTCCTAAAACTTTACAAAGTCAGGACAGCAAAAATACGTAGCAGTAGCTCTCTCTCTGTTTAAAAATTTCTAAAATTAGAATCATGGTATTAAAAAAAACAAAGCAATACTTATTGAGGTTTTGAATACCTGCATGTGTATAGATCAAATTTCAGAACCAAGGGACTGTAAAGTCATTAAATGTTAAATAAAGTACTATTCCATATGTGTAGAAGGACATGCCCACTGTTGAGTACATTGCCAGTTTGTGTAATTTTTCAGCTTTTCTCATTTGTTCCTTTATCAAAAATTTTTATCTCTAAAAAGAGACGAGGGGAATATAGATATTAGATGAAGTTTCTTAGAGACGATTGGGTCTAAAGTATTCCTAGGAAGAATACTGGAAAGGATCTCAAAGGAAGAGAGTATTACTCAGCAAAATCTATTAAGGCTGAAGATCCTGGGTTCGGCAAAATTAATTGGAGTGTGCTATGGTTAGTTTTGGTTTCTTTTGCTTAGGTGGATGCACGAGTTTTGGGAATACACAAGTCTTAGGAATTTTTGTTTGCAATTTCACCTGTGGTCTGAAATGCTTTTTGCGTGCTAGTTTATTGTCCTAGTGACTATTTATAATACAATTGATTGCTCCCCTTCCCCCTTTACTTCTTCTTTACCCAGTATATGTTTTTTTTTAGTAGTTGCATTTTTATGGTTATTTGGAAATCTCCTGAGGCAGATAAATATTAGATTTGAGGTGGGAAAATCATCCCATGAGACCTATGTTTATTTTTATAAACTATCTGACAAGTAGTGGTGGGTAGAATAAAGCAAAGCAATCACAATTCTCAGCCCTTTCTGTCCTCTTTACCTCTCACATATCTTAGTTTTAAAAAGTTTTAAAAACAAGGGCTTCCCTGGTGGCGCAGTGGTTGAGAGTCCACCTGCCAATGCATGGTACACGGGTTTGTGTCCCGGTCCAGGAAGATCCCACATGCCGCAGAGCGACTGGGCTCGTGAGCCATGGCCGCTGAGCCTGCGCGTCCGGAGCCTGTGCTCCGCAACGTGAGAGGCCACAGCAGTGAGAGGCCTGCGTACCGCAAAAGAAAAAAAAACTGTAACCACTTATAAAGCTATGTCTGTGACTCACGAAGTTTTGATCAGATCTCTGTGTTACTTTCTTCTTCTCCTTCTGCCTTTCTTTCTCTCTCATTTAGAGGATTATTATACCTTTGGGGAGCGTAGAGACTGAATTATTCCCTTAGGGGTTTATTTCCCTTACTAGATTTCCAGACTTCTTAAATGCTTCAGTCTCTTCTTCTTCCTGTTCCTCTGAGATTAAGAAGGAAAAAGAGAACAGTTTCCTTAAATTTGATTAATGTTTTACTCCCTTTGACGTGTTTAGACTTTACCTCTTATGTGCTAGTCTTTTCATTTCTATTTTTATTGTAGGCTTCCTTTTTTTTTTTTTTTTTTGCTGTACGCAGGCCTCTCACTGTTGTGGCCTCTCCCATTGTGGAGCACAGGCTCCGGACGTGCAGACCCAGTGGCCATGGCTCACGGGCCCAGCTGCTCTGCGGCATGTGGGATCTTCCCGGACCGGGGCACGAACCTGCGTCCTCTGCATTGGCAGACGGACTCCCAACCACTGCGCCACCAGGGAAGCCCTGTAGGCTTCCTTTAACAGAATGGGGATGTGTTACATGTGCCTGTCTCACAGACAGATCAGTTTTTTTTCTGTCAAAAAAAAAAATCATGGGCTTCCCTGGTGGTGCAGTGGTTGAGAATCCACCTGCCAATACAGCAGACACGGGTTCGAGCCCTGGTCCGGGAATATTCCACATGCCGCGGAGCAGCTGGGCCTGTGCACCACAGCTACTGAGCCTGCGCTCTAGAGCCCGCAAGCCACAACTACTGAAGCCCGTGCGCCTAGAGGCCGTGCTCCACAATAAGAGAAGCCACCACAGTGAGAAGCCTGCACATCGCAACGAAGAGTAGCCCCTGCTCGCCACAACTAGAGAAAAGCCCGTGCGCAGCAACAAAAACCCAATGCAGCCAAAAATAAATAAATAAATAAATTTATTTTTTTTTAAAATCATGAGTAACCAGGATGGGGATTTGTAGGACAGTCAGAAGAGATCTTTTCAGGGGATGGTAGTATGTGAAGAAGTGGTAGTGGGAGTGAAATCATTCCTCAACTCTGCTCTGCACTTCTAACTGTAGTGGAGAGAGAAGGGGGACAGACTTCATTGTAAATTCTCTCAGACTGCACTGCCAGGAAAGGCCTCTTTCATACCTCTTTTAAGTAATATAACATATAATGTATATCTGTGTGTGTGTGTGTTAAAGAGACTCTTGTCAATTCTGTAAGAAATGGAGAATCATCTGTCTCTCTCCTTTAACTGCTTTCTTCAGGATGATGCCCGGCAATTATTTGTTTTAGCTGGCAGTGCGGAAGAAGGAGTCATGACTCCAGAATTAGCAGGAGTGATTAAACGGTTATGGCGAGACGGTGGGGTGCAGGCTTGCTTCAGCAGATCCAGGGAATATCAGCTCAATGATTCTGCTTCATAGTAAGTAATTTTTCTCTGTGAAATGAAAACAGAAAATAACTTGGTGACCCTAGTGAAAGTTCAGTGCCCATTCTTAAGGAAATATTTAAGGAAGAGACACTTAGAATTCTGTAGGATCCCTTTATAAAGGTTGTTTCAGTTTAGGGCTATAGAGCCCTTGGTCATTTTATATGATTTGGAGAAAAGTATTTCCTCTTGGAGTGTAAATGGGAGACTTTGCATCATGAAAGTAGCTCCGTGGTCATTTATAGTAAACAAGTGAAAGAGGAGAGAAATCTATTGCATCTGAGTCCTGGATCTCTTCCAACTCAGTAGGTTCCCTCTGCATAAGGGCTTTGCATTGATTGCCAGCTAGCAAGGGAAATTAAAATTGTGATATCCCTTTTATGCACAACTCTCTGTGGCTGGGCTACATTATGGATTTCTCTGGTACTAGTCACCACTTATAAATCTTTTGCCAGATCACGATAGTAGACTTTGTGTAGAAAGAGAATGTTGAGTCTTGGAACGAAGTTGAAGCATCTATTTGTTAAGGAAATTCTCTAGGGTTACATAGTTTTAGAGAATTTGTATTGATAATTAATACTTCTGTGAAGCTATTACATGTTGTCCTATATTGCTTCTTTTACAGTGTGTTTATTTATAAGACCTATATTCAGAATGTGTGGGGTTTTTTTCTTAACATGCTTTTGGGGGGCTTGGTAAGTTCTTTTTACTTGTATCCATCTCCGTACTAAATGAAGGCAGTTCTAAGCGTTAAGGTGTTTTCTCCAATATTATATTTTCCTGCTTTTCCTATTATTCTAGCTCAAATTATTATAAAAAGATTAAATGATATTTGAAAAACTTAGCTTACTTTTTAAATGAAAACTTGACTTTAGAAACATTTCAGGATTCTTGCCCATCTCAATAATATTTTTCAGTTGCAGATGTTGGTAGTTTAAATAATTCTCCCAGTAGTCATCAAGCTAGATTGTAATTTCTTTTAACATACACTCAGTAAGCTCTGAATCCTCTAACTACACCTGAAGGCACATGATTTATAGAGTTTTTTTCCATAATTGTTGATCTGAGGTTGACTGATTCCTTAACATTAATGATGGTACTTAGTTTTATAGAAGATCATTAAAAATTCAATTATTATGGTATCACCTATTAAAAAAAAATCTTTGGGAGCCCTGAAATTGTGAAGAATTTAATTTAGCTTTGAAGCAGTTTTTAAATTATTCCACTAAACAGATGAAGTTTCTTTGTAGGTATTAGTTTTTGGCTTAGATTTAAAAAAAAAAAAACCTGTAACTTTTCTGTTTCATGAATGAAAACAGGAAATACTCATTCTTATTGAGCTAAGTAGTTCTTGTTAATTTTAGTAATTCAAACAGCATTTTCTAATGTCCTAGCAAATGTTTAAACATACAGATGACCATTAAATGTCTGAGGGCTTTTGTTTTGGTTAGGTTTTTGTACTGTGCAGTGCACAGTTGATTTAGTATTAAATTTCAGGAATCTTTATTAAGAATAGCATTTCTATGTTTGTTTGGTTTTAATTGGCTTTCACAGTTTAATTTTGGTAGAATTAAAACCACCTTTTTTTTTTTTTTTTTTTTTTTTTTTTTGCGGTACGAGGGTCTCTCACTGCTGTGGCCTCTCCCGTTGTGGAGTATAGGCTCTGGACGCGCAGGCCCAGCAGCCATGGCTCACGGGCCCAGCCGCTCCGCGGCACGTGGGATCTTCCCGGACCAGGGCACAAACCCGTGTCCCCTGCATCGGCAGGTGGACTCTCAACCACTGTGCCACCAGGGAAGCCCAAAACCACTTTTGTGTAGGGTATATAAAACCTACTTTAATTGTCCTATGCTAGGTTCATTTTTTTCTCATTATCTTCTGTGATACTGAAGATCTGATTTGTTCTGCTACTTTAGTGACAGGTTCAGAACCTGCTTTTGGCAAGGAACTAGTTTAGTCTGTTGACTTGCTGTGCACATGGTTGGCTTCATTAAGTAAAAATAAATGTGTATTTTACTTACTTAGTTACCTAAATGATTTGGATAGAATATCCCAAACCAACTACATTCCAACTCAGCAAGATGTTTTGCGGACAAGAGTGAAGACCACAGGCATTGTGGAAACACATTTCACTTTCAAAGACCTGTACTTCAAGTAAGTCATTAGCCTTTTTCTAGATATGCCAAACACAAATATCTTTCCTTTAGTTAGTATCTCTTAATCAGGGTAAAATTTCTGTAGACAATATTCTTTGATTTAGAAACTTATAATTATATTCATTAGCCAGTATTTGTTTAAACTGAATGGGGGCCCAAACGTTTCTTCTTTCTCCAAATAGCATCAAGTATATTTTCCATTTGGAGGAACTTAAATTCAAAATTAAATTGTAACTTACATATGAATAAAAGTAATCATATGGTTACCAATTTATTTTATTTTATTTTCAGCTGCTTTTTTATTGGAATCGCCAAAACGTGTTGAATGTTTGTTGTTTAGAAGGGTAACAACAATACTAAAAGGATAGAAAACTAGTGTTTTGGTTTAGTTTATATGGCTTTGTTCTGGCATTTTGATATTAAAATAGAAATGCTTTTCTCACCAGTGTCAATCCTTTCTTACTGGATCGCACTTCTCTCTCAGCTTACTGGAATGAAGCTAATACTGTCATGGCCTTTGACCGGTTTGTGCACAGTATCATGCACAACTTAGTTCTTAATACAGTACAGAATGGAATATCGATCTAGGGATAGAGGTATTTTGTGGAGGTATGATATAATATAAAGAATTATTGTTTTAGAGAGAGAAGATTCTAGTATTCTAATACAGAGGATTTTCTCATCAGCACTAGTAATTCTAGAATACGCTTCAGCTTGTCTCTGTGTTAATGGTCTTTTGTAAATAATAGAACTGTCTTTTTGGTTCTTGTTTTCTGCTTTTATGACCTTTGAGATTAGGAGTAAACTTTCCCCCTTCAGTATATGATGTCCTTTTTAGCTACTTCATTATGCTTGTATGTAAAATGTGATATTCAGCATTGTTGCATGCAAATGTAACTTCTAGTTCAGATTCTCTCAATTTTTTTTTCTCTGAAAAAAATTGCTTCTTAGATTTCGCAAAACCCACACAGCGTTTAGGTATTACTACATACTAGTTGAGGTCTTGAAATCTTAATACACCAAAACAGATTTGAAACCTGATGCAGGAAAATAGCAGTTCAGCTGAATATTTTTAGAATAGACGAGCTGCTTATCATAGTACTGATGAATTTATTTAACAAGAATAGCAGAGTCTCCATGGATTATCACCCATGAAACCGTAGGAGTGAGATGTCTCTTGGTGTGCTATAAGATTAGTAATCCATTCATAATTATATGTCATGACCTTTATTTATTTAGTGTGGGAAACTTTTTTGTTGATGTCATAGATTGATCTTTAGTTAGGTGATTCCTATTGGTCATTTTATGTCAGGATCAATAGCCAGATATAATTAAGGTGCTGCACCCACTTTATTGTTGGCATGTAGATATCTTGTTATGAAGTACTATCACTTCTTCCTTTTCCTCTTCTCTCTAGGCAAAACCACTATCCATTTATTCAAACATTTATTGAGCATCTCCTATATGCAAGGCATTGTGTAATTGCTTACTTGCCTCTCAGTTATGAGGTAATGTCTATAAAATGTTGATCTGTTAGTGAATGATACTGTAAATGTTAATATGTGTGAAAAGCCCACTTTGGGAACTTCACAGTGTTCTGCCAGTTTTATGGACTTTATAGAAAGAAATGGTGGAGCAAATTCAAATTATGGTGTACCAGTGTGTTTCTGCTCTTGAAAGGTCCATGGTGAAATATGTGATGTTAGCTTTCTTAAAACCTATAATATGACCTTGTATTAGAGCCAACTTGTGATTGCCTCATTCCAGGTGTCAGGACTAAAGGTTGAAAAGAACTGGGGAAGATCAAAAGACCAAAAGAAAAAGTTGGGTGATGAAGAGATGAGATGACTGTTCTCTTTCAAACATACATTGAGAAATTACTCAACTGTGTCTTATCTCTCTCAATCTCTAGGGGGAAAATTCTCTGGAAATAGATCCCTAGTCACTGTAGATCTGACACACTGAACCAGCTTGGCAGAGTTTAACCCTAAAACATTTTATCATTGTCATCAAACATATATCTTAAGAGTAGCTAACCATTTGTATGCATACCTCCTCAGACCCTAGTACCAGTTAAAAAACAAAGCCGTGCAGGTCCTCCTTTTACTATAGGTGGTAGATGAGGACACTGCTGACAGAAGTTCAGCAGTTGACTCAGGATATCAAGTAAGCACCCCAGAAGGGAGTAGTGGTCTAAAACTGATCTGAAGTGGAACATAAAATGTGTGAACCATTGAGGCTTTGTTGTTTTTAATTAGGTTAAATAAGACTTGGAGTTGGCAAATAATTGGTTAAATTTTGTGTTTAGGTATTGGGTTCTTAGAGTCCTACCATAAAGTATAATTTACTTTTTTCTGTAATTAATCTCTAAAATGTTTTCCTTAAAGAAAAATGTATCTCAATTATACCTCAATTTAAAAAAAAAGAAACAAACAAAAAGTAAGGAAAACAAAGTTTTGAGTCAGTAGAGTTATGGAAGTAGAATGCAAGTTGGGGATTTATTGTTCTTTTTTTTAGCTAGAGAGATAAACCCTTTTGAGAGGTAGAGTAGTGTTGTGGGTACCAGGTTGGGTGCTGGAGTTAGAGTTCCAGTCCCCATTTGTTAGTAGTGTTCCCTTGGGCAAATTTTTTAACATATCTGTGCCTCAACTTCTTCATCTGTAAAATGGGGATAATAATAGTACTGACAGGAGTGTTATGAGGGTTAAATTAGTTAATGTACTTTAAGATGTTTAGTGTCTGGTAAATGTTAGTTATTATTGTTACTATCTTAAGTTGTATTGTTCAGCTCTTCATTTTTCCTGTCTTTTTTCCCTCCTTCCTTTAATCCATTTCAGTGCTTACTCTGCTGACTTTTGGCACATCTGACACAAGCTTTGATAGTGAAGAGGCTCAACTGTTTATCTAAAATGAGAATTTTAATTGTTCCTAAATTTTATTTTCTCATATTGTTCTCTTTTACATTTAACCACAGATAATTATTTTGACTACATTTTATCTGCTCCTTGTTTGTCTTTTCTATTATAAATGGGGTTTTGAATATGCAATAGTGGGAAGTTCCCTAACCAGTTCAGTTTAGGGAGATGTGTGTGTGCATGACCTTGCTGAAATTGTGCTTTCTTTCCCCTTACTCAGGATGTTTGATGTAGGTGGCCAAAGATCAGAACGAAAAAAGTGGATTCACTGTTTTGAGGGAGTGACAGCAATTATCTTCTGCGTGGCCCTCAGTGATTATGACCTCGTTCTGGCTGAGGATGAGGAGATGGTATGTTGGAGCTTCTGGTAAATAAAAGGCCTGTCTAATGCAGGCAGGAAACGGAAAATAGCTCTTAGGAAGACTTTGTTCATCCATTTACTCATTGAACCAAAACTTAAAATCCTTAATTTTTCTCCTTGTCAGTGTGATTAGATTTTTCAAAATATTGATCCATGCCCTCTTAAACTTAAGAGATAGGACAGCACATTGAGTATGTGGGCAGGATTAAGTCCTCTTGTTAGCCAGTCCTTATTCCCACCTCTCAACCTCTAAGAATTATAAAAATGAGGACTGACTCAGCTTTTGTGTTATCAGTGTCTGACTTCTTTTCATGATTGCCCATCAGCACTTTTAAAACTTCTTGGTCTGGGACTTCCCTGGCGGTCCAGTGGTTAGGACTCTGTGCTTCCACTGCAGGGGGCATAGGTTCAATCCCTGGTCGGGGAACCAAGATCCTGTATGCCTTGTAGCACGGCCCCCCCGCAAAAAAAACCTTTTTGGTCTGTTGTTCATTAACAGTTAATCTACTTTTACTTTTTTGCTACTGACCTATCATCCTTTGCTTCTTTTTTAGAACCGAATGCATGAAAGCATGAAACTGTTTGACAGCATTTGTAACAACAAATGGTTTACAGACACTTCGATCATTCTGTTCCTCAACAAGAAAGATCTTTTTGAGGAAAAAATAAAGAGGAGTCCATTAACTATCTGTTATCCAGAATACACAGGTAAGGGATCATGAAAGATTTTGTCAGAGGTATACATCTTGAGTCAAAACTTTAGTGACCTTCCTACAGCTGTCTTTTGTTTTGAACATTGTGTGTATCTCCTTATGGAGAGTGTTCACTGGTAGTGGTATCAACATTAAGCATGTGATTAAGACCCCTTAAGTCTAAAGTGTTATTTTAGACATAATTGAGTTTACTGTGTTTATTTTATATTTCTGTCCTCCTCATTTTTTTTTTACATCTTTATTAGAGTATAATTGTTTTACAATGGTGTGTTACTTTCTGCTTTATAACAAAGTGAATCAGTTACACATATACATATGTTCCCATATCTCTTCCCTCTTGCGTCTCCCTCCCTCCCACCCTCCCTATCCCACCCCTCTAGGTGGTCACAAACCACCGAGCTGATCTCCCTGTGCTATGCGGCTGCTTCCCACTAGCTATCTATTTTACGTTTGGTAGTGTATATATGTCCATGCCTCTTTCTCGCTTTGTCACAGCTTACCCTTCCCCCTCCCCATATCCTCAAGTCCATTCTCTAGTAGGTCTGTGTCTTTATTCCTGTCTTACCCCTAGGTTCTTCATGACATTTTTTTTTTCTTAAATTCCACATATATGTGTTAGCATATGGTATTTGTCTTTCTCTTTCTGACTTACTTCACTCTGTATGACAGACTCTAAGTCTATCCACCTCATTACAAATAGCTCAATTTTGTTTCTTTATATGGCTGAGTAATATTCCATTGTATATATGTGCCACATCTTCTTTATCCATTCATCCGATGATGGACACTTAGGTTGTTTCCATGTCCGGGCTATTGTAAATAGAGCTGCAATGAACATTTTGGTACATGACTCTTTTTGAATTATGGTTTTCTCAGGGTATATGCCCAGTAGTGGGATTGCTGGGTCATATGGTAGTTCTATTTGTAGTTTTTTAAGGAACCTCCATACTGTTCTCCATAGTGGCTGTACCAATTCACATTCCCACCAGCAGTGCTAGAGTGTTCCCTTTTCTCCACACCCTCTCCAGCATTTATTGTTTCTAGATTTTTTGATGATGGCCATTCTGACTGGTGTGAGATGATATCTCATTGTAGTTTTGATTTGCATTTCTCTAATGATTAATGATGTTGAGCATTCTTTCATGTGTTTGTTGGCCATCTGTATATCTTCTTTGGAGAAATGTCTGTTTAGGTCTTCTGCCCATTTTTGGACTGGGTTGTTTGTTTTTTTATTATTGAGCTGCATGAACTGCTTGTAAATTTTGGAGATTAATCCTTGTCTTCTTCATTTTCTGAGGCAAATAAAGAATGATAAAAATCAAAATTTTGTATAAATATATTCACAAAATACAAGAATAAGGTGCAGTTACTACACTCAAGAAACTGACATTGGTTGTAGAAAGAGACCGCTTGAAGAATTTCATTTTAGTGTAAAATGTTCATTAATAGAAGAGCAGAAGAAGGGGTTACCTCAGTGGGATCAGTGTAGTCTTTTTCTAGAGGAAATGACACTTGGAGTAAGATAGTAAGAGGATGAACTGTAAATCATCAGGCAGATGGGGGAATAAAAACATTTTAGGAAGAGGAAACAGCATATATGAAAATATGGAGTTAAAAATGACATGATTTGTTCTGAAACCTAGGAGGAATTTGGTATTGATGGAGCTTAAAGTGGTGGGGAAGAGTGGTTGAAGAAGTGGGCAAGGATGCTCGTGGAGGGCATTGTATCCCATGCTGAGACAGTGGGGAGCTATTGAAGGATATTCATTGGGGTACATGATGTAGTAGAAACTGATTTAGAAAGATAATGTGATAGATGTCAATAAAGATAGATAGTAGGGGAGTTGAATTAGTGAGGACTCTCTTAGGATGCAAATAGAAACTTTTGATGAAGATACAGGGATATATCATAGAAGTCAAGGACAAGAATGCAGACAGTTCTCAAGAATGCAGTTAGAATTAGGAACCCTGCAAGCACTGTCAAGAACCCTGGGAGCACTTCTTTCCCCATCTCTGTTCTCTGTTCTCTGTGTCTCTCTATTCTTCTCTCTTTCCTTACCAACTTTCTCTGCTGCTCAGTTTATGTGATAAAAGATGGCCCTGCCACAGTTTCCATATCTCCTCCATTTAAAAGACCAGGCTAGACTGGGATTGTTTGGCCCAAGGTTCAAATTCCTAAAAGAGAGAGATTCTGGCCAGGGTTAAGTCAGGCAGAAACCCTTAGTTCAATCAGATGAGGTTAGGGACACAAACATGAGTGCCAGAGCTGTATCACTATGACCTTTAGATCAGAATTGAGTATTTCTAGGAAAGGGGACCTCTTGTTAGCTGAGCAGACATGTAAATGCTTTATATAGTAAGGTGAAAGGGTGTAGCTAGGGTAAGGAAGTGGGACAAGTCAAAGGTACTCTCAGAGTTCTGTATTAATTGGGTGTCAGTACTGTGATCTGAATTCATATTTAGGAATGTTGGTTTTGAAGTATCTATGGAACATCCTGATGCAGATATCTAACAGATAGTTATATATGTGGCCTTGAGCCTGGGGAGAGGTTACAGGTTAGTAACAGATACTGATTTGGGATCATGTGTAAATACAACATGGAAATGGATGAGATGACCTAGAGTGATGATATAGAATGAGGAGAGAATAGAATGAGAGTGAATACCAGGCTCTATTGGCAGGAGAAAAAGAAAGGTTTGTATAGGTTACAAAGAGAAGAATCTGGAAAGCCAAAGTATCAAAAACTAAGAGGAGAGTTTAAATAGTGAGGAGTGGTCAACAATGTCATATGCAGGTACGTAAATACCTTTTGAAAAAAATGGCCTCTGGAGTTAGCAGTCAGGAGATCATTGACTGTTATGGAGAGCATTATCAGTGGAATGATGAGAGCAGAGCCAGGATCAGTGAGTTACTGAGTGGGAAGTGAAGAAATGAAGACAGGTGTAGCCTCCTCTTGAGCAGCTTAGATTACAGGGGAAGGAGAGATCTTTAAATGTTTATGAGCTTAGAGGTAAGATCCTACAGCAAAAGAGAAGTTACAAAAAGTGGATGTAATTGATGGAGCAAGATGTGTAAGCAGGTGGGAAAAGAAGGAAGCAAAAGTCTAGGTAGGATGAATGGATAAACAAATTGGTATATCTGTACAATGGAGTATTATTTAGCTATAAAAAGGAACAAAGTACTGATAATGCCACAACTTTGATGAACCCTATAAACTTTATACTAAATGGAAGAAGTCAAACAGAATAGGTTACGTTTGTGTGATTCCTTTTATATGATGTATCCCAAATAGGCAAATCCATAGAGACAAAGCAGTTTGGTTGTTGGTTATTAGGAAATTGGCACAAGGGGAATGAGGAATGATTACTTAATGGGAATGGGGTGTTTTTCTGGGGTGGTGGAAAAGTTTGAAACTAGAGAGAGGTGGTGATTGTATAGCATGTGACTGCACTAAATGCCACTGTATTGTAAACTTATTGCATGTTATGTGAATTTCACTTCAACTTAAAAAAAAAAAAGTATAGATAGAGCAGTTGAATTTTGAATCAAAAGGAAGACATCTCTAAGACCAAAGATACAAATAAGTGCAGATATAGATAACTTTTTAAGTGAGGTGGTGGGCTAAAAAGTTGAGATGTAGTTTAAAGCCCCGTGGCCTCTGTTTTCTTAGGGAATTTGGAAATGTCGTCATCTGTTCAGAGGGAGGAGGGAGGTGAGAGTTGGGTAAGTTGATGGAAAGTATCCAAGTTTTAGAATGGGAGAACAATCTTACTTAAGACAAGTAAAGGATTGACATTAATGTTTCAGCTGGAAATCTTAACACATAGCAAAGAGTCCTCAATATCATGTCCATTTTTGGGTGGCGGGGGGTAGGGTGAACTTCCAAGCCTATCTTCCATTGACTTCATTCTTAAGGATTCTCACAGTCCTGATTTCCCAAGTATCAATATCTGTTCCTACCAGACAAAAATCTGATGTTACGTGTTTCAAACATCTGTCTCCTTTAATTTACAGAGGTTCTGCACATCTCAGTAAATCTATTTCAAGCACCTACCAAGCTATCTTCCTTCTGTTCTTTAAACAGTCTGTTTACATAATAGTCATTTCTTTAAGCTTTTCTTTGTTATTTAGTCATCTTTATATACTTATTTGTTGATATATTTTTGTCGTGCTTAATGTCACTGAAAATAGCCCCTAGTTCACAGGAATAACTGTGTATGCTGTCTTTGTTGAGTTTCCCTGGCTCTGCAGACAGTTTCTAAGGCTGTTCTAAAGAGTCACAAGTAGACAAGATTGTGTAGGAAGCAGGCGATTAAGAGTGTTAATTACCAATGTTGTTGAAATAGGGTTTAACTTTCGGGTCCCCCTCTTTGAAGAAATAACAGATTTATTAGGGTATAATTCACATACCATAAAATTCACCATTTAAACATATACAGTTCAGGCCCCTTTCGCTTTTGCATCTACTGGTTTACCTTTGGTTATTTAAACTATTTCCCTAAGGCTCTGAGGCTAAGCTCCGTTAAAATTGCAATGATTTTGAAAAGAAGCATGACTTCCCCTTTTGAATTGTTTATTTCAGCACCACTCCAAGGAGCACAAGCTCTCTGACCTTTTAAACAGTTATGTTCTTCTAGAAATGCATCTTCCTACCTCCCTAGTTTCCTTTTATTCTTTCTAGATTTTTTAGCTAAAAAGTCTAAATAAAAGGGAAAGAAACTTAAAGTTTTGTTTTCCTGGATCTTTGTGATAATTTTATTTTACTTATAATGAGATTCTGCACTCAAGAAACATGTAATGATTATAGAAAAATAGAAATCTGTTTATTTCAGTTGTGTTATATTTCCTCTCTCCGTAAGTAAATTGTGATGGCCTGACTTAGTTGAGTCCAAGCAGCTGTTTTAATTTGAACTGAGAATATTGGGTGTCTGCCTCAGGTTCCAATACATATGAAGAAGCAGCTGCTTACATTCAGTGCCAGTTTGAAGATCTGAACAGAAGAAAAGATACCAAGGAGATCTACACCCACTTCACCTGTGCCACAGACACCAAGAATGTGCAGTTTGTTTTTGATGCTGTTACAGATGTCATCATTAAAAACAACTTAAAGGAATGTGGACTTTATTGAAGAGTGTGGATGTTAAATAGAAGGTAAAACTTTGAACAGTTTAATTATAGTGCTCTACTGATGTCTCTTGACTTTGTAAACTTTTTCTAATTACAAATGTTCTTCTTTCCTAGTTATTACAGTGTGGAGTGTTGAGACCAGACTTCTTTTGCTGTCTCATTGGGCAGCTGCAAGCATGAACGGGACCAGGGAATGGCAGCGGCATGCAGAATCTTAGTACTCTTTAGCACAATCTTCTGTATTAGGGAACTCTTAATTGACATGAGATGCTAAAGTCAGACATTGGAATTGGAACAACTGTAAAGTATGATTTGATCATGAAGACATCACTTGGATTTCACAATCTCAAATGTTTAGGGCAGATGTCAAGTTGAGGTGCTGCATTCCAGAACTTCAATATGTAGCTTACTCTTTTTTTTTCCTTCTTGACAAACCACCAGTAGTTCATTTTTTAAGTTGTTTTTTGTTGTTTATTTTTTTTTATCAAGGGAAGAATAACTTCACTAAATTTTATTTCTTTGTAAAAGAATCTTTATTAAAACACAAACAGTCTTAACTATGCACATGATGTGACCAGATCATCTTGAAAATTTTCCTTTTAGTAGGAACTCTTTGTTTTTAACTCTTGGTATGGTCAGAATATAATATTTCCATAATTGCTTAATTCTTTACAATTATTGGGGCTCTAATTATAGCTTTTTTGGATGAAATTTATGTTACTATTCCTGTTCAAAGTACCATTATGGTTTCTAAATGGTAATTACATTGAAGAATTCTGTAGTAAGATTCCAGCTCTTTTTTTAAGCTTATGGTTGAAGGTTAACCTGGTTTATGCTGATTACCAAATTACTAGATAAATGCTGATGTAGTATGATAAAGTCAGCTTCTTGGATACAGACGCACCCAGGGCAGCTGCCAGTTAGAAATGCAAATTGCTAAATTCCAAACAGAACCAGTGTGACTTTGCTGCTACACATCTGCTAAATTGACCACTTCAATTCTTGCTTGTCCGTCTCAGTCATAGGGAGTTCTGTAAAAGATGCCCCTTGTTTTCCATCTTCCATTGGCTTTTTCTGTTGGGAAACATCTAAAGTGTATTAACAGTGCATGCCTTTACTTTGTAAACATGGTGCCAAATCCCTGTTTGCCATTGTTTTTATTGTAGCAATGTTCATTGTAGTAATCCTTAGTCAGTACCTTCTTTTGCTGAAACTATTGATTTGGGGACTTTTTTTCCACTTTGTTGTGTGTACAGATTTTAATCTGTTATAGTTGGCAGCAGTATTAAAATGGTGAGTAAAGAGTCCAGGTTTGTTCCTGTTTGTAACTAGTCCTTTCTGGAAGTATTTTCTTCTGTTGCTTTTTGCCCCTGCTGTGTGCTTAGGCCTTTGTCTGAGAATGGGTTAGGTAGAAGGGTTCCCTGAAGGTGTTAGTCTTTTGGTGTAATAGTATTGTTGAATCTTGGCCTGACTGAGCGTGTTATGTCATATCTGTGTTAGTGATATGCAGTCAAAACTCATTTTCCAGATTTACATTTTGGTTGTGTGGAGAGCTCTATTTACCTCAGCCTGCAGGTCCTTTTGTACAATGTACAGCAAATGTCATTAAATACTGAATGGTCCATTAGGGGAAGGCAAATGAAGAGAATGCATTTTGAGCATTCCAAATCAGTAGTTTGAGTAGTGCCTTTTGGGGTCCGATCTTTTTCGATTGGATTCTATTTCATCTTTTGATGTGACCTTTCACTAGTTTTAAAAAAAAAATGGTTGGTGGTCATCAAAGCTGGTTCAGAAAGCAAGCCACAGCACTTCAGTGCCTTTATTGGTAGTTTTTTTTTTTTTTTCTTTCGTGGGAAAAATACAACTATACAGATGGTATGACTGTATTATCTAACAGTTTTTTTTTTTTTAGGATTGGCAAAACTGGATCTAAAAGAAAGAAAATTATCAGCTTCAATTGGTGATTGACTTGTGCCCACAATGTAAATAGGGATAGTTCTTGTTCATTTTGAATATATCTTTTCCTTATTGTATTGTGTGATATAGGATCATCTGGAAATGAGAACTGGTAGAATGTTGGTTTAACTGTAGTCTTTCTATAGTCTGGGCTAATGGGAATGCGTTGATAACACAAAATAAGGGATAATCCAAAAAAATTAATACTTTGAAATGCATTTTGTATTTTCATTTGAATACGTCTGTCTGATATGTTAATTTTTTAGCCCTTCTGTCAATGAAAAACAGTAGTTCTCCACAATTTTGCCTCTATACCATTTACATTTGTCCTGCGTTTACATGAGGATCACCTCCTACCCCCCCATGCCAAATAATTTATCAAAATGCACATTCCTTAAGGACACAGGGACACAGTTTCAGTCAGTGGTTTTCAAATATGCCTTAAGTCAAAATCACCTGGAACCATCTCGGAGATTGACTCTTGGCTGGTGGGCTGGCATTCTGTAATTTTAAGAAGGTGATTCTGATCATCAGCCTTACAAATCACTATTGTATCAATATTTTGAATTAAAAGGTCTTTTCTTACAGCAGAGCCAGAATGTGGGAATGAAACCTCATATCTATTAGCCTGGAGAAAAAGGATTGATGTTTGTAATCAAAGAAGTAAAAAATTGCCTGTGTCTTTTTGGTGGAGAATACTGGAGATTTGTGATGGATCATGTTTCAGAATTTAGGTGCCCAGTCTTTGGACCACTTAAGAAATCAGCACATCTAAGAAAATTAAATTTTAACAAATAACGAACAGTAAACAGACACTAGGAGGAAGGATTGTAACAGTACCTTTATTTTGTTGACAGTCACATCTTCCCCACCTGATTAAAACTCTGGGCTGTAGAATTGCCATCCATTAGGCTCTATGTAGAGAGGAAGTATTCTGCTCCTTAATGGCCAGTCTTCCCTAACCTTATAATTTCAGCCTTGCAATAGGTTTCACCTCCTGGCATGAAAATTCCAAGAATTTTTACAGTTATTCATAAGTGGATCTTGAAATGTCTTTTTCACCGTGGACAGTTTGAATTCTAAACCTCTAGTTCAGTGTATCATACTGATGGGTTGTTATTTTTCACAAGGTGCTACATTCTAAGAATAGATGGACCAAATTTTTAAAAGCTGTTTTTTTCCCTCGTTTATGTTTTATTCTCTTATGTATTATATTTGTGTTTTATTATATGCACATTATGGAGTATTTAGGAATAACTGCTGGTTCTTCTAATTTATTTGCCCACCTGTTATTCTTATATCCTGGCCACTGTTCTCTGATTTGTAGCTGTGGCTTTCTTTCGGCATTGCTTGCCTAACCTGACTAGTTACTTTTTATATTTATCCATTTGCTTAGCATAGTTCTGGAGTTTCCTGTTGCAGAGTTCCTTGCTGTATTGGCAGTTACATATAAGGGAAAGTTAGTCTCTTATCCAATTAAAAACCTGTCTTGATTTTTTCCCCTTCTAGATGTTCAAAAAACAATAGCCCTCTACTCACTGATATTACCTGTGAAATCTTTCATATGTGACACTGACTTTAAAAACAAAATTATCTCAGTTTCCAAGTACTGCCAGGTAATTTTTGTGTTCCAGTTTAGACTTCAAAGTACAAATCAGAGATCTGACCTGGACCAGCCACAGCTCTCCGTATAACTTTATGGCCACCAAACACAAGAGAAAACCAGGCTGCTTAGAGTCCTGGAACTGAAAGTTGCTCTTACTATGAACTATTAGAAAGTAAAAGATTTAAGTGAGGCGTACTGGAGAACTAATTTCCAGGATGGTCAAGATCCTTGTTCCTTTGTTTAGGTTTTAAATCCCCATTCCCACCCCCAGTTTTCTCATAACCTTTTATGAGTTACTTCTGCTGAGGAAAGCGTATTTCAGAACAAATCAGGGCAGGATGGTTATTTTCTGATACTATGTCAGGCCTACACCTGGCTTTACTCAAGTCTCTCAGGAATAAGAGATAATATGGAATATTATGCAGCAGTAGATACCTGAGGTGCAAGATTAACATACAGATTCTCTGGCTAAACTCTACTCAATTAAAATGTCTGAGCCAGGTCCTGGGAATATGTATTTTTAAAATAAATTCCTCAGGTGGTTCTGATGCAGCTAACCTGGGCCAATATTTGGGGACAACTGAATAGACCTTATATTAAAGATCAACCCAAATAGTAGACAACATCAAAATCACTAGTGAATGACTAAGTTATTTTTTATTTGCCATTAAGTATAAAGCACCTACATGACTTAAAGTGCCTTTCACCCAGAAAATTAGTATGAGGACTGTTTGGTCAAAGAACATTCCTACATTTTAGACAGAGTATTTCGTTTTTATAGAAAATTAAGGCAAAACAAGAAACTTGGGGTTTCCAAACTTTTATTTCACTCCATTTATTTATTCAGTGAAAATTGAAAGATATACCAAAGTAAAGATAAAATCCTATGACAAAGGTAACTATGTGTAATAACATGAATATTCATTTACAGTTGGTAGATAAAAGAGCAAAGCTAGCTATAGAATGAAAGTCTTCTTGAGAGGGTTTGGGAAGGGGTAGGTAAGGGGAATGATTGAGGAGTCAAATATAATATAAAATCTTTGTATGCCCAGTGGTATATGTTCTCCCTTCCTGAAATCTAGTGGGAATCAACATGGTAGTAGAAATAATCAAATATTAGTAAACATACTTCTGAGGTACACCATCTCAGTGTGTTAGTGTTCACTAAGCTGTGAGATCTTTGACAGCTGGCATATTAAGTTCTGTACAACCTGGTTTATCCTGTCTTCTTACCCTCCACCCCCACCCCCCAGCCATATTCCTTTGGGTTATCCAAACAGTTTTACCGAGAGGCTTGTTTATATGTAAGAGAAAATCCCAGTAGACATAACAAATCATAAGAAATTACCTGTTTTTTCTTGCTTATGTAAGATGAAGGTCCGCAGCCTCTTATGAAGTTGGAGAGTTGCTTGATGTGCTGGGTTCTGGTCTTTTCCCTGCTTCCAGCTAGCTATGAAGTCTTTCAGTCTTATATCCCTCATCTAAAGACAGACTAAATTATTTCTTCTAGCTGTGATAGTCTATGGTTCTGATCAAATAGAAATAACACATTTAAAAGTGTTTTGTACATACTTTTTGTGATACTCAAGATTGTACTCCACTGCAAAAAAGGTAACCTAAGACAATACCAACAAATGTATTCATTGTAGCTGGTTGTCTTTTCTCAGCATCACTTTTCCCATATTCATTTCGAAAACTTGAAGTCAAGTTCAACTACAAATTACCCTGTATTTTGCGAAGCAGGGTGAAAAGGTCTTTGTTTTGCATTTAAATCCAGTTCTTTATTTTCTATTCAAACTGGTGCTTACTTTTCCATGACCAAAGGAAAGAAAAGTTCCTGCAGTCTGCAGTATATCTGTTTGACCTCACAGAGATGTCTTCACGCGTTTACCTAGCAGGATCACCAGAGGCTCTGGCACACTTGCAGTCCCTGGCCCAACACTGAAGTCCTGCTGGAATCTGTGCTCCGGGGGCTGTGCCGGGTAGAGAGGGAAGTGGGAGGTAAGAGCTCTTCACCCTTCACCACCTTCTCCACCCAGCATGGCCGGCACACTTTGGTCTACGGCACATCTCCAAGTATAGAGTGGTTTTTGAATGCTGTTATTTTTCACCTTGGGGATGGGGCCACCCAGATTTGGACTATTTGGGGTATGTGGTTTTTTTTATCAGAGTAAGAACTGTTACAAGTAGATATGTCTTTTATAGTTATACTGAATTTTTAGACTGAATTTTTGTGCTGCTTTTATTCCTCCTTTAATTGACAGAAACATAAAAGCACATTTCCAATTATATTTTTTCCATTTTTTTATTGTGTTAAAATATACATAACATAAAATTTGCCATTTTAATTATTTTTAAGTGTATAGTTCAGTAGTACTAAGTACATTCACATCATTATACATCACCACCATTCATCTCCAGAACTTTTCTCATCTTCCCAAACTGAAACCATACCTATTAAATAATAATTCCCCATTTCCATTCTACTTTCTGTCTTTATAAATTTGACTACTTTAGGTACTTCATATAAGTGGAATTATACTGTATGTGTCCTTTTGAGTCAATCATATTTTTATAAGAAAAAAAAAGCAACTGTAATCAGATTTATATGAAATGGAACTTAATTTACATTTGGCTTACTTTCATCAGTGTCTAATCATGCAATGCAAGTGAAGTGTGTTACAGTCTCTGCCCTCTAAGAACAGAAAATTATACCTTAAACAAAGCTATTTATACTTTTACTGTTTTATGCTAATTTCACATTCTATTTTGAGACCAATTTGTATTTAGTGTGGAGATGATTTTGTTAAATATCTATGATTTAGAGATGGCATAATTTAAAAATGACCAAGGATTTGTTTGGGAATAGAAGGAGCTTAGGAGAATGAAAAAATTGACTTTGATGTTATAGTGTATGGTGGGCTGTTGGTATTACGGTGCATATAGAAAGACCACTGGCTTTGGATTCAGAAGACCTGTTTTGGAGTTCTAGTTCTGCTACTTCCTAGCAGTGTGATCTTGATGAAGACTCTCCACCTCCCTTGGCCTCAGTTACTTATCTGTAAATTGCTAGTGAACCTGGAATATTTTAAGTTTCTTCTAGCTTTATCGTTCTAAGAATTAAGATTGCAGTATGTGAAAATAGGGTTGAGTATTAGTTTCTGACCTATCTTGTTATGAAAAAACAATTTCTGATGATATAAAATTCAACAGTATAGTGTAAATTTAAAATGAAACAAAAGAAGACAGATATAGACAGCAGAGTGAGTATATGGCATAATTTTGGTTTTAAGCTTTCTAACAGCTGTTTTATGCAAAGAGAACTTTTCATCCACACAATCAAAATGTCCATGAGATAAAAATAAGCCGGTTGGGTAGGAGAAGTACCAGTGGAGTTGTCTCTAATAGTATGAGGTTTGGGAACCATCTCTGGGCCTGACAAACAGTGAAGCTGCGGTAAGGATTAATGCCTTTTTTCGGAAGCTTATCCAGAACATTTGAAGTCCTCTTACCTTTACTCAGAGAACATCCCAGTGTTGGCTAAGAGCTTTAGGAAATTGTTTTGACTTTGTTCTAAGGAACAAGAGAACGGATGACCAAGGCCCACTGTTTTTATTCTGTGTAGACTCACCAGAAGAGTTTTAGCTTGAAAATATTGTACGATGAATAACCAGATCCTAACTTCAGTAAAGCAG